GAACCGACTCCACAGAACTTAACAAGAACATAAACCTGACAAAGTAAAATAATTTGAGTATTAATGATGGAAGAGTGGGATGGTTTGTGATTACAAGGCTTTATGGAAGCCTGATGAATGATTCACCATTATATACATAGAAAAGACAGAATGAAGAGAAGATTATACAAGTGCAAGTTGTCAAGAGAATAAAAAGAAATTAAATTAGGAAGAGACAATTTATCAAGAAAATTATTTAAAACTGTCAGTGAAGAGTTGAATAACCAAGTCGTACATTTTAAAGACATCACTATGGCTTCTGCTGGTGTAGCACTGTAGGATAAACACTGGACTGCTAGCCACAGGACTGGTGGTTCAAACCCACCAAATGCTCTTCAGAAACCCTAAAGAGGATCACTATAAGTTGGAACTTTCTCAATGGCACTTAACAAGTACCACTTTTACTGTTTATATACTGTTAGGGCAAAACTTCTGGATTCTCTGGTGAATCTAGCTTTAGTAACAATATCCTCTAATGGATTTTTCTAGACTGTCACCTGATCATAAGAATTTTTACTAGTCATAGACAAAGAATGACATAAACGATATTCTCAGTTTTCTCCGAAACAATCATGAGGTATTCCGAATTTGGGTGATTTAGTTAAATAGTTCACTTTTGAAATTCAGGTATAGTCTTCAAAACTCTGAGGACATAGTTGGTAAAGTATTGGGCTGCTAACCACAAGGTCAGCAGTTCAAACACACCAATTGTTCTGTAGTAGAAAGATGAGGTTGTCAACTTTTTATAAAGATTTAAAGTCTTGGCAACTCAAAGGGGCAGTTCTACTGTGTCCTGTAGTGAAAGAATTGAATCAATGGAAGTGGGATTGTTTTTGAGGCCTGGAGTGACACTGTAGTCCTGGTACCGTTCTGAAGTACTGGTGTGGAATTGCTAACCACAAGGCTGGCGATTCAAATCCACCAGTCGCTCCTTGGAAACCCTAAACAGGAACCAAGTACTTCAAGTACTCAACAACAAAAATAATCGTTCTTTAAACATACTATTTTAAAACATTTTTCTGACTCCTCACTACCTCCCTGTCCCCATTCACAATACATGCTCAACGAAGGCAGAGGTTTTGATCCTTTTAGTAATGGTCATACGCCTAGTGACTAGACAAGTAACTGGCATAAAATGATTACTCAATTAACATTTATTGAATAAATGCATAATTTTGTCTCTTAGGTTGCCAAAAATGTGTATTTCCTTTCTTGCGGTTGGTACTTGGTATCTTGGCATGCCTGAGTCCATTACTGTAGTAGTACTGTAGTCACTGTGTACTTTTGAGTATCTTCTAACTTAGGAGGCTCATCCTCTAACAGTATAATGAACAGTATTCTATTCTGATCCATGGGGTTTTCACTGGCTAATTTATGGAAGTGAAGGCCTTTCTTCCTAATCTGTCTTAGTCTGGAGGCTCTACTGAAACCATAGTCTGGATGATTCCTCAGAAGGCTGAGTATACTGTAGAAACCACGTTAATTTCAATGCATTTAACTGTTCACTTAATGTCGTCATACAGGGTGGTTAATGGTGGCGGTTATATTCCGTGGAGTCACAGCGGCCCGGTATAGTGTTTCCAAGGCTGTAAATCTTTATGGGAGCAGAAATTCTCTCACTAAAAAAGCTTATTTAAAATATGAAATTATTCTTGGGAGCTATTTTGTATATTTGAAAAATAACAAAAGGTTTGAAACTATCCCTTAGGAATGTCTAAGATCTATCTTGCACATTATCTTCTTCCAAAAATAAATGAACTGAAATAAAGACTATTATTTATATTTACTTAAGGCTTTTATTTTGTCTTTTATCTTTTACATGTCTCTGTCATTGTATTTGGCTTCCCTCAAAAGTTCCATTGAAATAAGTGCCTAATTTAAAGTCAGGAGGCTAATGAATAATATTAGTGGAATTAGACATTTGACATATAAGATTAAGCTGATGAACAGGAAAAGTAGTTGTGGTGAAGAAGGCACATGAGTGTGGTTTACATGGTGCTTCACAGTGTATGTGGTAGAATACAATGGAATTTCTACCCAATTTGGAAGCCCTGTGTTGGTGAGTTACTACTCAACCAATCAGGCCCTTCCTTTTTTAAGAAAGCAGTTTACAAAAAAAGGGCAATATGGTAGCCAGAGTTTGTATTAGGTGTTACAGAATCAGTTCAAACTCACTGCCACTCTATGTATAAAAAGTAAGTAAGCATATACTCTCATTCTGAAAAGCTTACTCTCTGTATCTAGGTCCTCAAAAACACCCATTGCTGTCCGACAGACGCTGACTGACTCACAGTAACCCTAAGGCTGTAGATCTTTATGGAAGTAGGCTGCATATCTTTCTCCCATGGGCCGGCTGGTGAGTTAAACCACCAACTTTTAGATTAGCAGATGAGTGCTTAACCACTACACCACTAGGGGTCCATGGATCTAGGGTGAAGTCTAAAATATACAAGGGGGCATTCAAAAAGATCATGGAACAATGTAATTAAAAGACAATAGAATTTCCTTACAACATTTTTAATACCCCTCTATATATTTTGAAAAGCTACTCACAGAATTTATATATCTGTTTTGGATAAAGAACTAGAATATTATACAAAACAACAACTTAACTGGTCTTATGATGACACACATAATCTTAAATATTCTTCATATCACAACAAAAAGAATGTAACATGATTATAAGAACCTAGCAAAAACTAAATTTTTCTTTAATGTTCCTAATCAGGTTATCTCTACTGGATAATAAACTATACAGGGAATAATACTGTTGTTGGTTTTAGGTGCTTTTGAGTTACCTCCAACTCATAATGACTTTATGTGTTCAGAATAGAACTGCTCTATAGAATTTTCAAGGCCATGACCTTTCAAAAGCAGAATGCCTGGTTGTTTCTGCTAAGGTGCCTCTGGATGGGTTCAAACCATCAACCATTTGGCTAGCAGTAGAGTGCTTAACCATTTACACCAGTCAGAAACTCTACTTAGGTGAAGAGCCTTTAAAAAGTTCATGGAAAACATAATTAAAATATAATCAAATTTTTACACAAATTTTTTGAAGCTCCCTCACATAAATCAGTATCCCAATGTATAAAGGAACCTCAAAATTCCCCGTTACTTTACTCCATCTTCCTAGTGTCAATCAGGGTCTAAGATTCTCACAACATCCCATATTATAATTTACCTATTTATAGAAACAGAGCTAAATCTTTTGACATATTATAAGTCCTACAGAATACATTGAGTTAAATGTTTTTGGCATCTTGGATAAAAGAATTTAAAACTAGAGTATTTATATTTCTCTTAAAGTACAATTTCCATTATAGTATATGTGCATGTCAAACTAGCCTTCTTAAACCACAAAGAACCATAGTTTCATAATGAAGTAGAACAGAAAAGAAAAAACTTTACCTTTTATGAATATTAATCTTGGATTTGATTATTTTGGTCATTTCACATTTTCAAAACCAAAACTGTCTGGTCACTGAACTTCAAAAACAGTAACATGAATAAACTGAAGACTTTTGTTTGCTTTTCTTACAACTGTTGTTGCCCACAAGAGTGATTTTTTTCAAAAAAAATCATTAAAGTTGCAGGCAGGGTTTAAGACAGATGATCCCATAGTTCATATCTGATAACAATTTCTTCCACTCCCTAGCACATTTATTTTGAATTAGTTTGAGAATACGAGAACTGGGACATATGCTTTTGTCTCATGAAAAAAACCAAAAAGGTTGAAGTGTCTTATTTTTCCGGAACCCCATATGCTTCACACCTACCTAGGGTTAGTTCTGTCCACTAGACAAAGCTAAATATACATGCCATCAACTATACAAAAACTTTCTGGTAAAATAATTGTTTACATATGAAAAAGATGTGAACATGTCACTACTGTTACATGTCACTACTGCTATACTGCAACAGAAAGAGTCTTCAAAATCCCTGAGAAAGGAAATTCAAGGCCTTTATTTCTTCATTAGAAAGAAGGATCGGTTGTCCTAGAGAAAGGAATCCTGGATTTATTCCTTAAAAGCAAAGCAGAGTAAAGAATAAGCTCAAGAAGTGAAGCAATGGCTAATTCCCAAACAAAAAATAAGAGTACATCCATTGCACATACTCTAGTAAATTGCGTATACTATAGTTTAGCAATAATAATGTGGTCTTAGAATGAATTTTCAGCATCTTTGTTCCTCCAATTATGACATGTTGGTGAAAATCTTACCAAATATGCACTATGATTACTTTTAGTGATCAAAGATTATTTAAACATTTTACATTTTACCTTTCAAGTTGACTTTCCTTTATTTATCTTAAAAAGGCAAATGTCTGCAGAGCTCTAGTGATGATACAAAGTTATTAGATATGCAACAGTAGATTAGATGAGGAAAAATCTTGCAAATAAGTCAAACTCACGATGGATACACAAGCTAAGAGAAGAAATTTTGATGAATACCTTAAAACTTTCTTTGTCCTGTGCATATATAATACATAATCTGAAACATATAACAATACAGATGAACCTAGTTATTGTTAAGTGGTAGCACAGGGGATGATAGGATAGGCTGGTAAGCATAAGGTCAACAGTTTGAATCTTTTAGTTGCTCCAAAGGAAAAAAGATGAGGCTTTCTGCCTCCATCAAGATTTACTGCCTCAGCAACTCTAAACAGGGTCCCTACGAGTCACAACCAACTCCACGGCACACCACCACCACCACCATGACCTGAGTATGTGCATCTCTAAAATAAAATACTCTATTTTGAAACAAGGACCAAACCTTATCACTCTTGTTTGTTCCAGTACACTGAAAACATGGCAGGTGATCAAAACCTTGCTTAAATGAATTAAAAGTCATTTGGCAAATGAGTTATCAAATTTATCTTACTCTTCAAATGTTTATTAATAATTTAAATCTCATTTATTAGTTAAAACTGAAAAAAATTACATTTTAGCTTAAATATATTACCTATAAGGATATCCATGGTACTTGGAACGAAATATTGAAAGCAGGAAACTGAAGAAGAAGACCACCAGGCCTAATCCCACTAGGCAAATGACTAGAAAAAGAAAACACCATTACTGTCTGGAAACATCAAATGACAATAAAATGTTTGTACTTTTAAATGTATTTAACAGATTGCTTGTATTTAATAGTTCATGGCATATACAGGTACAACAAACCAAAATGCAATGTATTCATTATTTTTCCATGTACTGTGTGAGGTAAGAAAACAAAATTGACTGATCTTGTCTTTTAGTGGTTTCTTCTCTGACAAAATCCAGTAAGTGATAAAACTACACTCCCCCTGCAAAAACTGAAATATGTTCTAAACCACAAACAAGATTATTAGCACCTGAATTATGAAGCACTGGCTAAATCATCAGAGACATTTACATTATTAGACTGCTAAGTAAATTTTTTTTTCTCCAGATGTCATATGAAATTTGCAAAGAAATACAATTTCATATTATGAGACTAATCACATTGTCTTAGTAAAAGCATGTTATTTAGAAACAGTTCATCCTAGAGTACAAAAGGCTATGAATAAAGAGTGGATCTCCTTGAGCAGATTAACAGTGCAAAGAAGTTACTATTGTTGTAATTAATGTTTCCTTGATTTACAAAAGAACAGAGGGCACATGCTACACTAGAGTATGCAGACCAGGTTTCAACATTACTTTGTCCCAGGAAAGTTGACAATATAACAATTATTTATTTTCTCTTTAAAAATTATCATAAGAAATTCTATAACAAATAGTAAGTTGTATCAGGTTTCCTCTGAATGTCTGTTTTGAGTATTTCTGCAAACAAGAGTCATTGTTTTTATTAGTAAAAAAAAATTTAAATATGCTTATAAAATCTGAATGCTTAAAAACCCCAACCAACTAAAATGAAGTTAAGTTCAAGTAAAAGAAAACATATAATTATATTGAAATGATGTGGCTTTTATTCTATTCAAATATCATAAATTAGTATTCTCTCTCAATAATAAATAAGTAAACATGTAAGAATAAAACATTCACACAATGCTTTTTATCATTTAATTAATTTCAAAGAATTCTAAAAAACATTTTGAATGCTATCTGAACAAACTGATTACAAAATAAAGGGAAAGATTTAAAACGCAAAGATAGAAGGAAACAAAGGAAATCAAAAGGTCCTATCTGCTTTTGTAAGGATGAAATATGATTTTTTAAAATTTCTAGCATACAAATAAAGCTAGTTTGAGTTCCATTTTTGGAACTGAGGGAGTAGATAAGGTATGGTATTGCCAAATATGGTCTAGAAATCTGTCAGTCAGTTTTAATTTCAACTCTGTAGAACACCATTCTCTCAGTTTTGAGTTCAAGTTGTAAAAACCATTAGCCTTTATTTAGGTTGCAGCTTCTATGAGATTTCATTTCTGACAATATTCAAGCAACTGGAGTTCAAATGAATACTGGCAGAAAGTAAAGCAAGTAAAAGGTTGCTGAATACAATTGCTGAATACAATAAAGTGAAAATCACTTTTTAAAAATTAAAACTGTATCACAAAACCACCACCAACACAGTGACTTACTGCGTCTTTTCCCAACATCTCCTTTGGAAGTTGCAGCTTCATTTAGAAGGACCATTCCCATGGTAATAGCAGCATCTACAGGAGTTGTCAAGGAATAGTAGAAACATGCAAATAAAAACTTTTAAGGTCTGGATCTGAATATAATGTATTCTGTTTTACAACGGTTATCACAAATGCACAGAGAAGCAAACACATAAAAATGTCTATATTAAGTTACCATTCTTTGTGTATGAATAAATGCCTTATTTCCAGAAATTTCAATGCTGAGCCTTTAAACTTTCTATATTTGAGGGTTTAATTCTAACTATGCATAATTCTAGGACTTTCATAGCTTACACAAACAATATGAACTCTCAAAGCCAGGTAAGACATTTCATACCTAATAATATGGACTAGTTACATAGACCTGGTGTTGTGCTGTAGGATAAGCACTAGACTACAAGGTTCAAACCAATTAACCACTTCTCCGAACCCCTATACAGGGTCATTATGAGTCAGGATAGACTCACTGGAACTTAAAAAATAGACACAATGGTGTATTTCTAGATAGTACAAAATAAGACTGTATTAATATAATTATGGTTTCATTTTAATACCATGTGTGTTTGTGTCCACAATTGCCTTATGAAAGCAAACAAAAATAAAACAATCTAACAAACACTGTCAGTTAATAGTTTGAAATTTTAAGGATGTGAACAAACAATAACTTCTGCATCAATGTTTGTTTTGTAACCAAAAATCCAAATCAAATCTGGATTTGCTGTCAAGTCTATCCTCACAATATCCTATAAGACAACAGAGAAGAGTCCCACAGGGTTTCCAAGGTTGTGATCTTTACAGAAGAAGGACTGGTATACTTGTGTCTGTTGGGTTCAAACTGCTGACCCGAGCACTGTACCATCAAGTATCCTTTGTCATAGTGAAAGATTTTGTTAGGTGTTGAGTTGGTTTCTGTTGTATACAACAGAAACAAACACTACCTGGTCCTGTGTGTGAGCCTGTTGTTGTAGCCACTGTTAATCTCTCTCTCTCTCTGAAGGTCTTCCTCTTTTTGCTGACCCTCTACATTACCAAGCATGACATCTTTCTCCAGGGACAGGAACTCCTAATAAAATGTCCAAAGTAGGTGAGATGAAGTCTTGCCATCTGGGTTTCTAAGGAGCATTCTGGCTGTATTTCTTTCATAACAAATTTGTATATTCTTCTAGTTGTTGTTAAGAGCCATTGAGTCAGTTTCCACACACAGCGACCCAGTATACGGTTTCTGAGGAGTGGCTGGTGTGTTTGAACCATGGACCTTGTGGCTCAAACTGACCTTGCAGTCTGGTGCATTAACCGACAGCGCCATATTATATTCATTACTCTTTCACAATGCTGTAAGTCAAAAGCATCAATACTTCTTCCAGAGACAAATTGCAGGGGTTTTTTGTTGTTGTTTCCACCTCTACAGGATACTCTGCCATGTAATTAAACCATTTCTGGAATTGAATACTGTAAGACTTTATTGCAGTTAAGTACTGTCGAGAAGGTTCAAATTCATAGTGATCCTGTATAGGTTTTCTTAGGAGCGGCTGGTGAATCTGAAGTGTCAGCCTTGCGGTTTAAAGACTCTGCAGTCCAGCATATTAACCCACAGCACCATTTAGAACTAATTCCACAAATAAAATCATTATGTATTCTAAATGGATTAAACATTTTAGAGAAAACAACCATAATCTCAATTTGCTTAACTGGTTTTATTCTGATTTTCTTGTATTCATTCCACTGTTAATGTGCACAGCAGCATCTATGTTTCCTGTGCAGGGTGTATCTAAATACTTTCTATTCTAAATGGTGGAGAAGTTCAAAGGGTATCTATCATCCAGTTATGACTGTACATTTTATTTGCAGAGGGCCAGAGGGAATTCTTAATATTATTTCTATTTTGGTATCAACTATTAGTTGGTATTGACTAATAGGGACCCTGTATACAGTTTCTGAGACTGTAAATCTTTGCAGGAGCAGGAAAGCTGATCTTTTGCCCATGGAGCAGCTGGTGGGATAGAACTGTGGATCTTACGAAGTTTACTCTACAGAGCAACTGGGCTTACCCATTTATGATCATGTTGTTGTTCTTATCCAACAATTGATCATTTCTGCAGTTAGACATTTATATTTACAATGACCTACCTATACATAAAAGGAGCTCTGATAGCTTAATGGTTACGAGGCGGGCTGCTAACCGCAAGGTCAGCAGTTTGAAACTACCAGCTATTCCACAGGAGAAAGATGAGGCTTTCTGCTCCCGTAAAGATTTACAGCCTTGGAAGCCCTGTGCAGGGTCACTATAAGGTGGAATCGACTCCTATATATAAACACTTTTTAAATGACTCTATTCATTGCATTGTTTTGGGGAAAGACAAAAAACAACAAAAACCTCGGTTGGAAGCCTAATGTTTATAAGAGAAAAAGCCCTGCAAGTGCAGTGGATCTCTTTCCACAAATATATATGTATCACAATATCACAGTGGTTTCAATCTACCAGCCGCTCCTCATAAACATTATACAGGGTCACTATGAGTCGGAATCAACTCGACAGCAATTACTAACAGCTACAACAATGACACATGGGTTTCTGGTGTGGTGCTGTAGGATAAGCCCTTGACTATTAAACCATGAGGATGGCAATTCAAATCCACCCTCCACTCCTAGGAAACTTTTTACAGGGTTGCTATGAGTTGGAACTGACTCAACAGCACTTTGCAACTACAACAAAAATGATACATAGTTTGATAGCCACTGATATTTATTAATGAATTATTTCCACAACTTGTCTCGGGAGCCTATGTATCACTGTGATGCATTAAGTTATACTACGGGTATTTTAAATACCAGCAGGGTCATCCAAGATGGGTATGTTTCACAGGAGCTTCAACACTAAGAAAGATGGAGATGGGGCAAGATGGCAGACTAGGCAGAATGGCTGTGTGGTCATTCTGCAGCAAGGATATGGAAAGCCAGATGACACAGATGCAAAGGATGGTCCTAGAACTCTGAAATTCAGATAAAGGGCTAAATAAGTAGATTGAGAGCTTACTGGGAGAGTTGAGAAAACATGTCAAGAAAGGAGGGAACTTTTAATACGGAGAGGCCAAAGGGACCTGCCGCAGTCATCTTGAGTATGTGGGAGTGGCTTGAGAGACAAGAAATGTACCTGTGCTTTGCAGAGACAAGGTGTAAATATTTTTTACAAAGGTGTAAATCCTGCCCCCTGCCTCTTTTCCTCTCCGGTTCTCTATACTTCCCCTTTGACCACAGGCAAGGCCAGCCTTAATCAGTGTACAAACCCATGGAAAGTACCACTTCTCAGGTGGAATGGTTTGGACACCAAGGTGGTAAGTACCATTTGACAGAGGAGAGGCCAGCAACAACAGCTCCCGTTGGGCAAGCGCTGCTGGAAATCTGCGAAGTTGGTCCAGCCAGCCCTGTGTTAGCTCTTACTAAGAGAAGTGGCTAAAAGAAAAGGAAAAAAAGAAAAACAAAAAAGACTGGCTATATGTGTGGGTCTGAGAGGCACAGCAGAACCATCTTGAACCTTCTTTTGCAACTGTAAAGGCAAGATGCCAGTACGTAGCACAGAGGCATTCTACTTATTGGTGGAGAGAAAAGCAGTAGCCACTTTTTTCTCTTCTTTTTTCATTACTTTTTAGTTTTTCCAGGTTTTTTGTTTTGTTTTGTTTTGTGTGTGTGTATGTGTGTGTGTGTTGCTTTTCTCCTGGAGTGTTTTCTCTTCTTGCCCCATCCAACAGTAGGCAGCAACTGCAGCCATACAGCCCATTCACAGCCGTACCCTCTATAAATCCACCAACTGGACTAGAGTCAATACCAGCTGACGGCAGTAATGATATCCCAATTTCCACATCCAATTCTGAATCTATCTTGAATTTCTGGCAGTTCTCTGTCGATGTACTGCTGCAGACATTTTTGAATTCTCTTTATTAACTTTACTTAATTTGATATTAATGATATTGTTCAATGATTTCCGAATTATGTCACCTTTCTTTGGAATGGGCACAAACATGGCCAGGTAAGCTATCTTCCAAATTTCTTGGCATAGATGAGTGAGCATCTCAAGTGCTGCCTGTTTGTTGAAAGATTTGAAGTTTTATTCCATCAATTCCAGAAGCCTTGTTTATGCCAATGTCTTCAGTGTAGCTTGGACTTCTTCCTTTTCGTTACCCTCAGTTCTTCATCATACGCAACCTCTTGAAATGGTTGAACACTGTCTATTTCTTTTTGGTAAGGTGTGGATATTCCCTTCCATCTTTTTTTGATGCTTCCTGTATCATTCAGTATTTTGTCCATGTTGCTTTTGTTGTTAAGTACTGTAAAGACAGTTTTGATTCATACCAATCCTGTATAAGGTTTTCAAGGAGCAGCTGGTGGGTTTGAACTACCAAACTTGTGGTTCAAACTGACCTTGCAGTCCAGTGCTTTATCCTACAGTGCCATACCAAGACTTTGAAAGAGAGCAAATGTTTCAATATTTTCATTCATGAGTTTTGTTTTTGTTTCTTACAAATGACCTACTCCTAGGTTTTAAACATAGTTTCTTTTCTGTAAGAGCTTTAAAGTAAGGTCATGCTATCCTTCTACTCAGAAGTCTAATGCCTTTCTTCCATTTCACTTTAAATTACATCCAAAGACCTCAAAATAGCATTAAGACTGTACAAGATTTGTATTCCGCCCAACTGCCCTCTCACTTTCTACCTTACTTCCTCTAACTCTTACACTTTATATTCTTCCGTTAAGCTGTCATTCTGTCTAATGACCTTTGTATCTTCTATTCTCATTGCCTGATATGGTCTTCCTCCACATGTCTAAAGAACTCACTTCCATCTGGACGCGGCTAAAAAGACATTCTACCCACGAAGCGTCCTCTGTCTTGGTTGACTTTATCCTTTTTACTTTCCTCCATAACTTCTTAGTGAATTTACATATTGTAAGTTTTTTATTTACTTGTCTTTCTCCCTCCACTGGAATGTTATCCACTTAAAGGCTTTGTGATAATATTATTATCTTCATTTTACAATAGG